ACATGAGAATGATCATGCACATATTTTTTGAGTTAGAAAACATGAAAGACACTATGTAAATTTGAAAGAAATGGGGGATAAGGATATTTGGTGGGCTACTTCTTCAATCCTCTTTAGGATTTGGGAAGGATCAATGAAATAGGGAGTAAGCTAACGAGACTTTAAGGCTCTACCAACACCAATGCATGGAGTTACTTCAAGGAATAGATATATGATCCACTACAAGAAAAATGTAAATTTTTGACAGACATAATCCATCGATAAAAAGGAATATTTATCAGAAAAAAGGAATTTATGACAAATGCAGATCTGTTGAAAAAAGGGACGTCAGGAAAAAAAAATCCGTTAGAATTAATTCGTTGAAAATTGTTTGAAAATATTTATGTGATTTCGACAAATAAATCTGTCTATTAATGTAACACCCCTCATCACTTTTCAACGTGCTTTGTCCTTATTTCCACACTTTCTGGAAAACTTCCCAAAAAGTCACTTATCCCTAAATTATTCCAAGTCAAATACGCTTAACTGTGAAGTTCTGATGAAATAAGCTACCGAAAAGTAAATGCATCTTGTTAATATAGGTAATATAAATTAATTCATTTAAGTCACCCTCAACTATACAATCTCATACTTGTATTATCTCTTGATCCTTCTTATTCCGGTGTGTCTGGACTGTTATAAAAATATAATATTTTTCAATGAGCCACTTCTTGCTCAATCTTAAGTAGTCTTTGACTTGCCTCTTTAAGTAACTACCTAAGTATTCTTTGAACAACAAGCCTCTCCAGGCTTAGCACCAAGTATTTTTTCTTAAACAACCCTCTCCAGGCTCAACATCAAGTATTCTTTAAACAATAAGCCTCTTTAGGCTCAACCTTTACAACAAAGGTTACAAAAGATTATGAGGTTGTTTCGTCTCTTCTAGACGTGTTGCAACCAACAATGAAAGTATAGATAATCTATAAAGAAGTATATACAAAATTCACAGTGAGTGTTTCTTTGTATTTGAGTCTCTGTTATGTGTTTCTTTGTGTTATTTCTTTCTCGAAGGCTTGATCTTTATATAGTAGCTTCAAAGAAGATGAGCATTGTGACACTTTGAGTTGAACTCACTAGTTGCTTCATGAGTTATTTTGTCTGTGTTCACTATTGATCCTAAAGGAAAGTGATTACCGTTGCTTCATTTAATGCAAGCATTAAATACTTTTCAGTAAAATATGTATCTTTTATCTGATCTATGAGGCTAGTTATCATCATTTCTTTCTAAAATGAGAATAAAAAAAGTAATGTCAGCATAGAGCAGTTCTTGCAAAAGCATTATCACTGTAGAGCAGTTCTTGTAAAGCCTTTTTTTTCCATGATATCCGAGATTTTTCCCTTTGATTCTGACGAATAATTTGACTTTTCTGTCTTTAATAGATTATGAGAGTTCCAAGACATTTTTCTTGTTCAATCTGTTAAGTAATAAAACATTTAATTGATTTTATTGTTAGTCTCACTTAAAAAGTATACATTTAATACATATGAGACACATTATATGTTTCGTCTGATTCTCTTCAACAGATGATATACATTTTACACTTTGTCTGATATATAATATTTTATAGAAAATTCATTTTGTTTAAAAGAATGATGAAAACCTATTTTCCAAGGATCCCTAAGACCAATAAGGGTGAAGGATGATAAAGATGGTTTGAAGAATTGTAGTGCATTTACTCTTATTTTGTAGGGTACCCTACCTTTGGAGGCCTATCCTACCTTAAAAGACTCTTATTGTTGTTTTATATTTTTTCTTGGTAGTGATTGTATAGGTTACTTTTAACCTTGTATTGTGGGTTAAGTAGTATAGGGATTTTTGTCCTTGTATAATTTTTCTTTAAGGGTGTAATTAGTAGATTAGTGGAGGTGTAACTAGCAAAGTCTTGTTAGAATTATTTGGGCTTGGATGACCCAAATCTTTTTATGGGCCATAGGTTTGAATGTCCACTTGATCATGCAAGTGGTTTGAACGTCCAAACCATGCCAAGCTTGCCATCCAAGCTACAAATTAATTCACATAGCTTTGATAGTGACATCTTAACAAACTTGTTAAAAGTAATCATTAGTCTAGTAGTTGTAATGATTAGGTTAGGTAGTTAGAGTTAACTTAAGCTAACCTAGGTTATTCTTAAACTAGAATTATCTTAGCTTGCTCCATAAGCTTCTAGACAACTAACTAATTAAACTTGTAGACATTTAACTAGAGTTAGTTAGCTTAAGTATAAGATAGCTAAACATGATTACGTTTAACCATGGTTAATTTAACTTGCTCTATAAGCTTCTAGACAACTAACTAGACTTGTAGACATTTAACTAGAGTTAGTTAGCTTAAGTACAAGATAGCTAACCATGATTACATTTAACCACGGTTAATTTAGCTTGCACCATCATTAATTATTAAGTAGAATAAATCTATCAAGACTTACTCTTAAAGTAAGTAAATTTTTTCTTCATTAAAAATGAAGATAATTTTACCACAAAATAAAAAAATAATTAAACAATAAAATAAAATATAAAAAATATTAATGTATTTATTATATGAGATATAACAACATAATTAAAATATAATTAATAATATATATTTTATAAAATTAGTAATATTTTATATATATAAAAAAATGAAGAAAAAAAATTAGTGGGGGCAAGTGCCCCCACTATGATTAACTTAGATCTGTCCCTGCATGTGGTTGTGTGGTGAAATGTTAGTCTTGTGTATCCTCTTTCTTTACTTCAAGTTCTACCTCTTCAAGAATAGATTGTTGTTGTTGGGGTACATCGTTAATGACTTCAAGAAAAAATACCATGTCATTTCATCCTTTACTGTATAATGTCAATTTGGTAGTAAGTAGTTCACTTCAGTTTGACTAACAATGAAATAAAATCTGCTACCATTATCTTTAATTATACAATGCATTGTCCTTAATGATACATTGTAAAGCCCAACTGTTTAGCAATTGAAGTTATCAATTTCTATTGATAATATTACCAAATCCAGTGTTTGAAATGTTTTGTACCTTGGGTCTTTTTCCTTCCACGATTCACAACCGTGAATATTATGATATAATTTAAATTATTTATTATAAATTTAAATGTTTAAATAATAATTTATTTAAAAGATCTATCAAAACTATTAACTTTTCACAAATTGTTGAAAGAAATAATAAGGTTGAGAAAATTTTATAATTAATCAATTTTTCATATAAAACTATTTTATTTAATTATTTAGTTAAATTATATTTATTAGCTTACGAAGATTTGACATGAATTATGAATTATTAGTTTGTTAATACACGAACAAAAATTCAAATCACTATATGCAATCTATTTTTTTTTTCATATTTTTTCAATTTTATTTCAAATAATATCTTCCAAATAACTGTGAATACGAAACGTATTGGTAGAAAAGAAAAAAGAATAGATTCAATTTAGTGAGATTAAAAAACAATAAAACAATGCAACGGGAATGCACTTGATTCACATGATTACTATATTAAGTAGATAGAAAGGAATACCATAAACTCGTATACAATAAATCAAAATAAACTATTATATTGCATCATCTCTCTTAATCCAGATAATTAGATGGTAATTTATATTTGAACAAATAAATTACCAGCCAACCATTGTTTACTGATAAATAAAGATCCAATTTAAAAAGTTTTCTCCACATTGACTTCCTACCATCACCCAACAAATGTGTCTATGTCAAACGTGACAATCAACACATTCTAAATGTGACAATCAATGCATGAAATTTCTTCATAAAGAATTTGTTCGAGACAACAACTCTGTCTAATGTTGCTGGCTTGTAATCCACTTATTCTAAAAATAAATTTATTTATTTTTTTCAAAATTTTAAGAATCCATCAAATTAATACAATATGTAAAAATTAAAAAATTAAAGATATTTCGACTAAAGTTTTGAACTTAAAATATTTATCCGTAACTAAGGGTTACCATAGATTATCAAAATCCCCCCATCTTTTTTACTCTTTCGAATCCAAAGTTTCATTTCCTTCTTTAATTTTATAACCTTAATTTAATAATTGAAATTTGATGCGGGCTACAATGGGATGGAAAATGTTAGCACATTCTTTAGTTGAGTTGACTAGTTGTTCAATATTGAATTAGAAAGCGCCAAATATTGCATAGTGCCAGTTCTTTTCAATATACGCCAAATTTTCCACTAAATCAAAAGGTCGAACCAACGCAGAAAAATAGGAATCAATAATTTAGATTCGTTTCGCTTCTATTTTTTGTTTTATAATGTTTTGTTAATATCTTCTTTACATATTTTGTTCAAGTATTCGGAAGACAAAGTTTTAGAAAATAAAGATGTGCTTTTCAAATATGCTGATCAGAGATAAACAAGTTTTAAAAAATATTTTTAAAAACAGTAAACAAACAAAGTCTTAATTTATTTATTTAGAGAAACTGATTTTTTTTTTCTTGTCCTTCCCATGGATAAAATTAAAGTAGTCCCCCGTTAGCTAGTTGAAGTGATTAACAGATATATGTATATACATGATATATATGTCAAGTGTCATGTTGAATGCATACATGGCAAGAAACTTTTTAAATTTTTCCCTTACCTCACATGTTAAATTTTGCATTTTGCATGCAGTTAGGACCTAACTTTTTTTTTTTTTTTTTACTACAGGGAAAGACTTAATTGGAGGAAAATAAAGGCAACCACGAGAGAAGAGTATCATATATATCGACCCGTTCTTCTTTCTTTTGGTTCTAAGAGCTAGTATCATGATACGGTAGTTAATTATTACCACCTCTCTCTCCCTCTCTATAAAAACTTTTTGAGAAATTTATATGAATTAAACCAAACACCTAGATTGACTTGGTGGGGTTACTTATATGTGACTAATCCCTTCATTATTTTGAATCAAATAACTCACTGTCAAATGACCAACATGGCAACTTTTTTCTCATGCGGGGTGCCCCAGTAACCACGTTCTTGGACCATTTTAGTGGAACTGATGCTAAGCTTTCCTAACCCTTATACTAGTATTCTCTCTTGACTGTACCTCATTTTTGACTTTGATCTACATCTACAACTCTAGCATTGAAGAATGTTTTATTTGTTGCAAACCATAAACATTCTGCAATATCCATTGATTCACCCATTCACCATGGTAGTGCCTTCCAATAAGACGCTCCTCCTCTTAACTCTTAGCCTCTTCAGTTTTGCAACAGCTGAGGCACAAGACGACCCTTTCTATCTAAGCCAAGATTGCTCCAGCGAAAAAACCAATGATAATACCTCCTTCCAATTCAAGGTCAAGAACCTCCTCTCTGACTTATCATCTAACGCCATTGGCAACACCAATATTCGATTTTACAACACCACAATCACCGGTGAAAACCCCTCAGACTCAATCTATGGACTCTTCATGTGTAGGGGTGACGTGTCCTCTCAACTCTGCCAACAATGCGTCCAAAACGCAACCCTAAAACTGTCCTCAGAGTGCTCCTTGTCAAAACAATCTTTGATTTGGTACGAGGAGTGCATGGTTTGGTATTCCACAGCCCTAATTTTCTCCACTATGGCCACAAAGCCTGGATTCACCATGCAGAACAGTGGCAACGTCTCAAACCCTTTAAGCTTCATGCCTTTAGTGTTTTTAACCCTGAACAAAACTGCAGATGAAGCATCTCTATCAACTACTGATAACAACAAGTTCTTTGCAACAAGGGAAAGAAACGTGAGTGGATCTCAAACCCTTTATTGTTTAGCTCAGTGCACGCCGAATCTATCACCTCTTGATTGCAGAACATGTCTTGGTGATGCGATAGGGGAACTTCCTGGGTGTTGTGAAGGAAGAATAGGAGGGAGAGTTCTATTTCCTAGCTGTAATATTAGGTATGAATTGTACCCTTTCTATGATATTCCTTCACCAACACCTACACCAAAGCTGGTTCCTGAAACAAAAGCTTCACATGCAGATTCACTTTTTTCAGAAGATTATCCTATTTATCTTTCCCATAATTGCTCAAACAAAACTTTTCTCACTGCCAACAACACTTTCCAAACACACCTCACTACTCTCTTGTCTACCCTAGCTTCTAATGCCACCAGTGGCAAGAAGTTTTATAAGGCTAACGTGGATGACACAGTGTTTGGTCTTTTCTTGTGCCGAGACCGAGACAACATTCCCTCAAGCCTTTGTGGTGAATGTGTCCAAAATGCTACCCATCAAATATCATCAAAGTGTCCTATGTTTTCTGAGGCTATAATTTGGTACAGCCAGTGCATGCTTCGTTATTCATACAGAAATTTCTTCAATAAAGTGGAAAAAAGTCCTGTGTTTTCTGAGTTGAATAGCACCAATAAGGGCGAGGAACAAAATTTCTTTACGGTGAAGTTGGCAAAGACGTTAGATCAAGCGGCGATCCAGGCCGGGGACAGTGATGAGAGATGTGGAACAAAGACAACAAAATTGAATGATTTGCAAACCCTTTATACTCTTGCTCAATGTACACGAGATTTGTCTATTGAAGATTGCAAGGGTTGTCTAGGAATTGTTATTGGAACATCGATTCCGTGGTCTCGTTTGGGAAGCATAGGGGGAAGAGTTTTATATCCTAGCTGCAATGTCAGGTTTGAATTGTTCCAATTCTACAAGGACATTGACAAAACTGGGACGCCATGGCCAGGTATACTTCCAAGTTCCAACTCAAGTAATAATATATTTTATATTGATGTTGCTATCCTCTTTCTGGATAATCCTCACTTGCTTTTCTTTTTATCGTACATAACAATTAACAAGGTTGTAAACAACGGATCGACGACCAATGTTAAATAATTTAAGAGATATAAACATTTATTCAATTTCTCATCCACCTATTTTTCCACTTCATTTCCCGTTTATTCCTATTTCTTTCTCATCATATTACTGTCACCTTCTCCTTTTCTTTCTTCTTTCTTCTTTCTCTTTTTTCTACTTCTTTCACCTTTTTTTTGGGATATAGCTTTATGGTTATCTTTACTTTAAACAATTTCTCTTTTCTCCTACTTAGATTTTGAGGGTAATGATTTTTTTGTTAGATTTGAGGGTAAAGATTATGCACTTCATTTTGGGATATACATGGTAGAGGGAAAAGAAAATAAAGAAAAAAGAGAAAGAAGAGAAAGAAAGTGACACAAGTGATAAGAAATGTGTGATGGATGTATAACTTGTAATATGGGTCTTCCAACTTGAACCAGTAGGCCAAGGCATGAGAGCGAACCTCGACTTCACTCTTTTCTTGTATAGGTCATAAACTTATTGGCTCTAGCATATCAGGGACAATATTGTCATTTTATTGCATAAACTTATATGTATTTACTATATATAAGGCACAATTAGAAGGAAATGATGATTTTTTTATAAGATATATTTTATAATTTGTATAAAATATTATTTATTTTTACTTTTTTCCCTATTAAATATTGTGAACATATATACTTCTTGTTATTGAATAATGAAAAAAATGATAAATAAATATCATATTTCTTACTTCTTTGACACATAATGTTTTTACCACACATCACTAACAAAAAATTGTCTTTGCATTGACAACTATGCATGTCAAAAGCACTTTGGCTTTCAAAATTTGGCAGTTTACGCCACTAGTTTCATTTTTGTGATAGTGTTGGAGAACATATATATATAGTTAACGGACTCTAACTCCCATTTTAGAATTAATATTGATATTGGTGCATAAATTTTACTATAGAGTAATATATTTACTTTTTCATGATTATTTAATGATAAGTAATATGAATTGAATAAAAAAAATGACAAGTAATAAGAATAAAATTCATATACCATTATTTTTTTTAAAATAATTATCCAACTAAAATAATTATAAATATCGATATTTGTTATTCTGCTTTATAAGAGAGTGTATTTGTTTAAATTTATTTGTTTATTTATTTTACTTTCTGCGAGTATAAAGAAATACAAGACATAAATGAAGGTAACCACACATTATTCTCACATGTATTATGAAAACCGAAACATTAAACTAGAAAATTAATATTAGTGAACTAATTTAGTGTCTAGTCCAATTAAATTACAGATCCGGTTTGAGAAAAAATGACCCAAAAATTAAGTTAAATTGTTAAAAATCTGTTAGACTTGAAAAAAATAAAATAATTGATCACTATTTTATAAATAGAAGATATACATACCATCAAAATTTATATTTAAGCAACGATGTTGTTTGATTATTCAACATTTATATTTGGAGGGTAAATTCAATAAATATATAGAATTTCCTGCACTATAATTCATTAATTCTCAAAAAGTAACACATGGACCATCGAGGTCAAGATCAATAGAGAAAGTGAGCCATTATTTATCTCATTAGTTATTATTATCAACCTGACCCGTCATGACTTATTCACCAATACTATTCCATGTGAGCAAAATGTGATGATTTATATTGTTTTTTTTTTTTTCCAGAAAGAAGAAAAGGCCCATCACGAATAATTATATTGATTGTTGTGTTGGCAAGTATTTCAGTGACGTTGTTCTTTGCGGCTTACTATTTTCTACGTAAAAAAGCAAGAAAGAGTCATGCAACTGTTCTCAAAGAAAATTGTACGTATTGTAAAAAATATATGTATTTGAATTCATGCCTTTTCAGCTTCAATAAGTTTGAAAAATTATTTTTAACCATTCATTATCATTTTTCATCTAGTTGGCCGTGAAATTGCCACTTTAGATTCGTTACAATTTGATTTGGCTACCGTTAAAGCGGCCACTAATAACTTTTCAGACCAGAATAAAATAGGCAAAGGTGGATTTGGAGAAGTTTATAAGGTAATAATAAATTTTTTATTTCTTTTATTCTTGCAAATATAATATCTTGTATTTTCAGGGTATTCTTCTCGATGGATCACAAGTAGCTATAAAGAGATTATCAAAAAGTTCAAAGCAAGGAGCTAATGAGTTCAAGAATGAAGTTTTATTAATAGCAAAACTTCAACATAGGAATCTAGTGACACTCAAAGGTTTTTGCCTTGATGAACAGGAGAAAATACTTATTTATGAATATGTGACGAACATGAGCCTTGATTACTTCCTATTTGGTTAGAAAATCTTGACCATTTTCTCTTTCGATATAATGAGATGTTTAGATCCATGCATTGTAAATGATGCTCTTATTTGACCCTAAATAATTTAATACACTAGTTGATGATAAAACATGCTAACTTATTCTTACAAACAATTTTGTAGATTCACGACTACAAAAGTCATTAAGCTGGTTTGAACGTTATAATATCATAGGAGGGATTGCTCAAGGAATTCTTTATTTACATGAACATTCTAGATGGAAGGTTATACATCGTGATCTAAAACCTAGCAATATCTTATTAGATGAGCATATGATTCCAAAAATTTCAGATTTTGGACTTGCTAGAATTGTTGAAATAAGTGAAGACCAAGGAAGTACAAATATTATTGTTGGAACATAGTAAGTTTGAGTGACTCTTGTTATCTTTCTTACTTCTTTAAGTAGTTTATTTTCGATAATTTAACTTTTTTTTCTTATTTTATTTTTTATATAGTGGTTATATGTCTCCAGAATATGCAATGCTTGGACAATTTTCTGAAAAGTCAGATGTTTTTAGTTTTGGTGTCATGATTTTAGAGATTATAAGTGGAAAAAAGAATTTAATCTCTCGTGAACCACAACATATTACCAATAGTCTCCTACACAATGTGAGTATAATATTCTAGTTGGTCATTTCGTAACCCTGTATTAATGTTTATATGTTATATATCTATTATCATTGATGGTCTCCTAAACAATGTGAGTATAATATTCTAGTCGATCATTTCGTTTCCCCGTATTAATGTTTATATGTTATATCTATTTTATATTCATATTGACTCAAACACAAAGGGTAATGCTTTGAATATCTAATATGATACTGTTATATACAGGTTTGGAAACAATGGAGAGATGATACCCTATTGAACACTTTGGACCCGACTATTATAAAAAATTATTCTGAAATTGAAGTCATTAGGTGCATTCAAATTGGTTTATTATGTGTTCAAGAAGATCCTAATGCTAGACCTACAATAGTGACAATTATTTCATATCTTAATAGTCATTTTATCGAATTACCAACTCCACAAGAACCTGCATTATTTTTGCACGGTAGAATAACTGAAAATGCAGTTGTCAGACAATCATGTTTCAATCAATCTGTCAACACATCTACGCTATTCTCTATCAATGAAATGTCTTCAGTCGAATTTCTTCCTCGATAGTAAGTTATAACATCCTTCTTTAATTTGTTACCATTTATGAATATTTTTTATTGTATAACAATAATATTTAGTTGAAACTATTATCAGTTAACAATAACATCGAGTTACACCGTTTCATGCATTTTATTCCTTGACCTGTAATCTCTCTTCTTTTTTTTTGGTACATACGAGAGAAAGGAAAAGAAAAAAGGATATAAACAAACTTAAATCACTCTCATTGATAACTGACTCCAACGAATTATCTAGATGCAACTGCTCGATATATATCAATGGTTTTTACATGATCATTAGGCTCGTATCCTTGACCTTTTATTTGTGCATTCAAAATCTTTTTATGATCCTAAAATTATTTAATAAATCAAAAAGCAAATTCAAAACATCGATCCAAACAAGAATATATCATTGTGAATCGAAGCTACTTGAGCAGATACATGTACAACACACAATTGTTTATTTGTACTCTTATAACTATTTTTTCTTCTTCTTAATTCTACGGACATTATTGCGAAGGGATTTATTTTTTTTAAATGTTTATCTTCACATTAGTAAAACTTCGAACTAAATATAATCATATGTAGAGTGTAATGATTATGTATTATTTTATACTGGTAATTATTAAAGAAGCTGAGTAGTTTAGATTAATATATAAACTATAGTATTTATGTTTCGAGAACAAGACTTTAGGTTAGTTAGTTTTGCAATAGTTTCAACTATAAATAGCATGTAAGCTTATGTTGTACGATACAATTTTCCACAATTATAGAAAAAGAAAAATTTTCCACTTTCTCAATTTAATTTATTATGGACGCATGAGTTTGTTCATGGTATCTAGAACTTTTTTTTTTTATGGTCTGATTTTTTTTAATCCATAAAAATTATAATGATAGTAACATAATTTGAAATTAAAATCTTATGCATATTACCTAATCTCTCCACCACTAAGTTATCATAATATTTCTTCTATGACGTCTCACTCTTAACTTCCATGGCAAAAACTCTAAACATTAATTCTTCCTTTGATTATTTCATCTTTATTTGATGTGTCTAGAACATGCAAGGGCAAACACACCCTATCTATGCGCTATATGGTTTTTGAAGGTAGTTTTGAATACAAAATGATCAAGTGAACATAACATGTGTAGGAAAAAAATAGGCGTTAGGTAGAATTAAACTAAGAGAGTGAATTATTAATTATTAAGTATGTTCTGCTAATATCATCATAACTATACTCCAATGAATATGCTTTGCATGTGTCTTGGCTAAGGGAATTACATGGAGCTGATGTTGTCAAGATGGATAATTCTGGCTTTTTGTATGAAACAGGTTATATATATGGAAGACTGTATATACGTGGCATAACAAGGAAATGCTTACCCAGGATACTGCTTTGCTTTCTCCAAGAAACAGCTGCTGAAGGCTGAATTAATGCATCTCATATTACAATTCTATTTTTTTTTTTTTTTGGTTCTGCTTATTTTGGTGGTTATTACCTTTTTGGTTTGTTTCAATTTAGACGAGTCGGAAGGCTCATGTGCATGTGGACGAGCTTAATTGTTGCCAATAAAAGGATTAAGGGAGATATGTTCATATATAAAAAGATTCCTTGCTTTGATCCTGCTGTGATAGATTCATTGACATTATTTGGTGTACACTGTTTAATGACAAGGGTTTTCATTTTGAAGGAGGCTAGCTTTCTTGTTTCTGCTGGATTTTTTTGTTTTTTTTTTTTGTTTTTTCTTGTATTTGTTTTCGGTGATCCTAACGGAAGCACACCTTGCTCTAGCTTAAGTCTGTTCTATTAATAAAAGTATTTTTTTTTTGTCTATATATAAAAGGATTGATTTGTTGAATATATAATTTAATTTTTATAAAATGAAATAACTTACCTAATTGAGTAATTTTTTAAAATAGTTTTGAGTTTGTAGGCCAATACTTGGATCATCATGACTGGTCTAGAAAGCTTCTAAAGGTTGAGCTAGTTAATGTTCACTAACAAAAAAATTTATTTGTTATTAATTTTTATAAAGTAAAAAATCTCACATGCTAACAAAATTTTCCATAATCTTAAATGTTTAAAACTAAAAGTGGCGAATGTTTCCACACGCGCTCGCGCATAGAGAGAGCTAACTTAATTATAATTAAATATGGGTGAATCAATTATAAAAAAATGTGTGGACTTTTATTTCACAAATGGTTAAATTTTTTGAATCAATTATCAGATTAATAACGTAATGAATAGAAATGTTTAATAACTAGTAGTTTAAGCCATGCAATATGTATAGGTTAAATGCTTATCTTATATAACCAAAATTTATAAATTATATTTATAGATAAATATTATGTTTAAATATAAATTATATTACATATTTAAATATATAGATATTTTTAAGCATATAAATTATATTTTAAATTTATAATACATAATTTATATTGTAAAAAAAATATTTTTATTTATTGATGATTTATTTTTTAAATATTAAAATTTAATTTATAAATAATTATGATAAAAAATAATCAAATTAAATAAAAAGTTAAAAGAATCTCTAAAAATTCATTAAATAAACTTTTATACAAAAACATATACATATTTAATATATAAGAGTTGATTGTTTATTAATAATTAATAATATTGTGAAATTATTGAAATATTGAATCATTCAGCACCTTACAAAAACAAATTTTTAACTATTTGTTCATGTAATTATATAACCATGTGATGCGATGGCCAATAGATGAAAATTTTGGTATGTATGATAATCATTACTTAAAAGGAATAGGAAAATTATTGTTTGGTTAAATAAAAAAAAGTGTATATCTATATCTCTCTATAGATAAAGAGAGTTGAATGTATCGGAGTTTTAACAAAGTAAATGAGAAAATATGAATAGGATTAGAGTTTTAATCGCATGATTAACGTATTTATTCTGCCAATTTCTTTGTATATATTTTATTAATTAATTGACTAATTTGTACATAAATAGTGATTAACAAATTAACCACATTAAGAAAAATACAAACAAGTTGTGAGCAAAGCTAAGTTTTGAGTCAATTAGATAAGAAATAAGCAATAATATAGGAGTCAAAGGATAAATTTTCTTAGAGCCTCACATAATTTCTGAACACCACTGAGCATTACGTAAGGGTAAGTAAGGGTAAGTAAGATTAACCCCAACAAGTGGAATTATATGAGCCATTTTTCCCAACTTCTCATACACGTTGGATGACACCCAGGGATCATAGCCAGCTGATGCAATTCACAGCATCCCAATGTAATTGATCTGATAGAAGATTGCTTAACCTAGCTAATTCTCCTAGAGAGAATGTTAAGAAAGTTTAGAGACCATGACCAATATTAGTGATGACAATCATGATAAAAAATAATAATAACTATAATAATATTTTAAATAATCATTACAAATCTTTCAAAATAAAATGATACTTAGAGTTATGTTTTAATTAAATGAAATATATAAAAACAATAATCATATATGAAGAATTAGATATAACAAATTTTATAATTTAATATATAGACCAATTATATTTTTTCGTTACTAAACAATTCTCTTGTTATAAAGAATGAATTAGTCAAGTGAAGGATCTTACTCATATTAGGGAGGTTACGAATAATGATTTCCTGTTGACTGAATGACTATACTTTGTACAAAGAGAAAACTATATGTTATTTCATCCGTGGCAGATACGTTTGATTAGCGTAAAACGTCAGCATACACGTAAGCCAGAATACTCGAAGTGACTTTTGATCATGAACCATCCTGTTTCTGTGTATATCCTATGCCAATCTTTTTCATCCATTCATTATTTTCCAGCTCATATTTTATTTTCGCTTGACTTGACTTTCCTTATCATGGACTTACTTTCGCTAGCCGTAGACCTAATTACATTACAAGTCTTGCTACAAATTTCCAGCACACTTACTGACCATCTTATAAATGAAACGAAGAATTGTTTACAAACCATACAATTACAGTCATAAACCTTAAGACATTAATTAGCAGAGCCAGTAATACACCCATGACTTCCTATAAGATTATTTTCTTCTTCTTCTTCTTCTTCATCTATAGCTTCCTCATGTTCGCAACTACTACTCATGCTCAGAGTGAAAATATTTATCGACACAAAAATTGTTCCAGCAACACAACCACTGCAGGAAGCACCTTCGAATCCAACGTCAAGATCCTCCTCTCTTCCTTAGCATCTAACTCCCTCAGCAACACCGGATTCTACAACACCACAGTACATGGAACAATCCCCTCTGACTCCGTCTTTGGACTGTTCATGTGCAGGTAATTAAGCGTGTTCATATTCGGTTTATTTAAACATCTTAAGTCTTAACAGATGACTTAATCATAACTATTTAATGAATATAAACTATGAGATAATCACCTATACACTATTATTGTAAAATTTTTTTACACTAACAATCAATTATATCTTTTAATTATGTCAAGTCATTATAAACATATTTATTTTTAACAGTGACATAACACAATTAAAAGATATAATTGGTTGTCAGTGTAAAAAAAATTTACAAAATATAATTGATTGTCAGTATAAATTTTTTTTACACGGACAGTGTGATTAACTCATAAACTATTATATTTTAATTTATGTAATATTTAATTAAAAATTATTTTAAATATTAAATTTGATTTTTTAATTAATTTTCAAAATTGATTTTGGTTATAATTGGTTTGAATAATATATAATCACACGACTCTACGAAATCAAAATTGGTCATAGAAAACAGATTATATTTTTGTTATAATATAACTTTTATGGTTAAATTTATATAATTAACTCTTATATATTTAACTCCAACAACTATCTTATTTAAAGATTATTTTTTGACAGTGTTTTGAAAATATTTTTAATATTTTATTTAATTTAATTTTTATTTATCATATGAATTATATATTTATTTTTAATATATTTAAATTAAATTAATAATAATAAAAATAATTTTACATTGTATAAATTGTTTACCTTAAATCTAAAATATAATTTATATATTTTAAAAATTTATTTATATAAATTTTAAAAAATTTATATTCAAATATAATATTTATTTTATATAATTTATTATAAATTTAATCATATATAGTAAATATTTACAATGTGAAATTCACAAATTAAAATATTAATTATTTTTAATTAACTACCCCGATTCTAAATATAAGGAAAAAAATGTATTTGTTGGATTTAATGTAAAAAAATTCCAATTAATTCCATCCTATATATGAGACACAAATCCATAATCTACTCATTTCCTATCCCACAAATAAAAAATTAAAACATATTTAAAAGTTCACCTCTATATTTTTACATTCCTCGTATTACATGTTTTATTTATTATAAACTTAGTTACATAAAATAAATAATTATCTAAAATTTTATTTTTAAGAAAGTGTTCTAGATTAAGATTTTAAAAGAATTATCATAAAAAAGTCTTGTGATATTCAATCAAAGACTTTTTAAAATATAAAAAACTCTTCTGTGATTTTTATTAAAAATTTTGAGACAATCAAGATTTTTGTAAATAGTAGGTCAAAATCTTGTGGTATTTAATTAAGATTTTTTTTTCCCACTTAAATAAAGTCCTTAAAATTTTGTGAGACTTTTTAATAGAACTAACATATAGTTTACTCGCCCAACAATTCTACTCAAATCTTTGAGATTTTAGGTGATTTTTTTCTTCTTTTAATTCTTTGCTTTCTATTCCCTCCTCCCTCTCTCTCATCTAGGGATGATAATGGGTAGGGTATTATAGTATCTGTTCCCATACCCGTGTTTGAAAAAAATATCTATACTTGTCTCACACTCACCTAAGTAACAACTTTAACCTCCATTTCTGTACCTATTGGGTACCTATATATATTCATACCTGCATCTGCTACTCATGCTTTACTTATGTATAAAATTAATAAATCAATAAAAAATATTAATTAAAAAATTGTTGTAGCTAAATTAAAATCACCTTAAATTATCCAAAGACAACTTTAAATCATTTAAAGATAAGTCATAACTCATAATCAAACAATATTAGAAACATAAAATTTTAAATATAAATTCTAATTATTTAAATATTATTATTAATAGGAGTCAAAATATGTTAACTAGGCTAGACTTTAGAGAGTTCGAGTTTAATTTATCCTATACACATTATAGACCTTTTGACTTGTTCAAAATTCTGCTTAGCTTGAAAACTTATTTATATAGCTTGTTTATACAAGATGTATAAATAAACTTATAGATTCAAGTATGCTAAGAAGTTTTGTTCAACACCAAACTTCTTCATCTTTCTTTTTTGTATATAATGGTTGTACTAAGGTTCAAACTTAGGACATATGACATATAATTTACAAAAAAAGGACATTTGATATACTACCTCAACTACTCCCACTAGTTTGACATAGTGATTCTTATTCTTTTTGTGGAGAAAAGACACATATTAAAAGGAAGGTTGAATAGTATGTATCAAAAACTCACACATTTGAGTAATGAAGAAGAAAAGAGCTTAATAGACGAAGTGCTGGAGAAGTGTTAGATGAAACACTGGAATTTTTTTACTGATTCATCTCAATTATTGAGATTACGTCTAGTTCTTAATCCAACTAGATTGAGTTCCACTATCCTTTCGACAAGATACAAGTATTTTTTTCAATGAGCCACTTCTTGCTCAATCTTAAGTAGTCTTTGACTTGCCTCTTTAAGTAACTACCTAAGTATTCTTTGAACAACAAGCCTCTCCAGGCTTAGCACCAAGTATTTTTTCTTAAACAACCCTCTCCAGGCTCAACATCAAGTATTCTTT